AAATGCTATCGCAAGCTGAAATATTGCTGACAGTGGGACAACGTACGCAGACTACGCAGTCTTGCCAAAATATCGCGCTGCAGTTGGCGCGAACATATTCCCCCCTTTGAGAGGTTGTAGAACCTTTCAAATTCAACCATACATATAAAAATAAATACAAAAAAAATAACACCAACAACATGGCTCAACAATATAAGGAACATAATAATACCAATGATAATAAATAAAAATATTTGCAGTATACAAAAAACAAATCAATAAATCAATAACAGAAACTATAGCAAAGTACTAACACAATACTAGTTAACAAAAAAAAAAAATAAATAAATAAATATATAAGATAATAATAATAATGAGATGACTATGCTCCGTCTTCATCTTCATGAGTTGGTAGGAATGCTAGCTTCACCACTGGACGGCTGAATTGTTGACCTGATGAGTTGCGCACAGTAACCGCTCGGACGATGCCATCTTGTCCTGGATGAACTTCAGTTATTCGAACCAAGGGCCATTGAAGAGGTGGCAATAGTTCATTCTTGAGTATAGCAATATCGCCTACCACAGCATTTCTGGTTCTTTTTAGCCACTTCCCCTTTTTTTGGCATTGGGGCAAGTATTCAGATAGCCAACGCTTCCAAAAATTTTGGAATTGGGCCTCCATGAGCTTAAATCTGCGTAACCGGTTTTGAGGAATCAATGAATAATCAGGTTCAGGTGGAAGCATTAGGGAACTGCCAACCAGGAAATGTCCAGGTGTTAAAACGCTTAAATCAGCTGGGTCTGAAGGCATGGGTGTCAAGGGCCTGGAGTTTAGTGCAGCCTCGACCTTGCACAGAAGAGTTGTAGTTTCATCGTAAGTTAACAGAACTCCCTGTGATACTCGGTGTAAGTGACGTTTAGCTGCTTGGACTGCAGCTTCCCACAGTCCCCCAAAGTGAGGTGCTGCCGCTGGTATAAATTTCCACTGAATGCAATTATTGTTTAAGTAATTGTTTATAATATTATCTTTATGGTGTGCTTGCAGTATCCGGTTAGCCCCCACAAAATTAGTGCCATTGTCACTGTATAGACTAGAACATTGGCCTCTACGAGCCATAAATCTTGACAATGTTGCTAGAAAGTCTTCACTGGACAGTGATGACACCAGTTCTAAATGAACAGCCCTGGTGACCATGCAGACAAAAACACAAACATAACTTTTTGTGGGTGAAACCTTTCGACGTCCACTTCTGATCATGATTGGACCACAGAAATCAAGACCGCTTCTTGCAAATGGTCTTGCAATGGTTACCCGTTCTTTTGGCAAATGAGCCATATAAGGTGACATGAATTTGGGTGCTGCGCGAAAACACTGATGGCAATCATTAACTGTTTTTCTTGATATTATTCTACCACGAATAATCCAATAACTGTTTGAAATGTGTGATAAAAGTCCTTGTGGTCCAATGTGCATAAGGCGTCGATGCTCATAATGAAAAATTAGTTTTGTGACATAAGACCGGCTTGAAAGTACTATTGGGTGTTTTGTGTTGTATGAAATTTGCGCATTATTTAATCTACCGCCCACACGAATTAGGCCTTGGTCATCTATAAATGGACTTAATGCCTTAAGACAACTGCCACGGTGCACTAGTTGTCCGGCCTTTAATGATGATAATTCGTTAGGAAATGATTCAGACTGAGAACGAACTGTCCAATAAGTCTTGGCACTGTTTATTTCTTCCATCGAGATGAAACCACCCACACGCTCTTTGTTTGAAATCTTTGCCTTGCAATTTGACATGAACCGACGTACCAATGCAGTTACTCTTAATAGTGTGAACCAATTGGAATACCTTTTTAAAATCCACATAGGATTATCAACCGCAGTAGCAACCAATGCTAGTTTAATGGTCCGAACTTCAGGTAAATCTGATGGAAGTGCAGGATTTGTTGGCCAATGACTTGAAGGTAAACGTAACCATTCTGGCCCATCCCACCATAATTGACAAGAAGGTAATGCACTAACATCAATTCCCCGAGATATGAGGTCAGCAGGATTGTTGGTAGTAGGTGTGTGATGCCATTGTGTTTCGCATGAGAGCTCATTTATTTGAGCCACTCGGTTGGCGACATATACTTGAAGCGGTTTCATACTAGTCAACCAAGCAAGGACGATGGTTGAATCAGTCCACAAATGTATGTTTTCTGTAGGCAATGCCATGTTTATCTTTGAAAATTCATTTTTTACCTCTGCAGCCAACTCAGATAATAATAGTGCGCCACACAATTCAAGGCGAGGTATTGTGGTTGTTTTTATTGGTGCAACCCGAGATCTCGCAGTGTACAATCTGATGTCGGCATTGCCACTTGGCTTAATGGATCGAATATAAATACAAGCACCATAAGCATGCTGAGACGCGTCGCAAAAACCATGAATTTCATAACTGGCGGAATCAGCTAATAGTGCTAGTCTTGGTGTAATTAAGTCATTGAGGACAACCAAACTTAAATAAAATTTTGTCCATTTGGAGCGTAAATCCTCAGACAAAGGGTCATCCCAACCTAGTTTAAGGCTCCAAACTTGTTGAATGAAGATCTTGCCTTTAATCAATACTGATGATATTAAACCAAGCGGATCATAGACGCTGTTAATATCTGACAAGAGGGTGCGCTTAGTCATGTGTATGGGAGGAGTCCAATTTTTTGTTGTAAAACGAAAACTGTCTATTGAAGGTTGCCAAAGAAGACCTAAAGCGCTCAATACTTCAGTTTCAGTGAGGTTAACCATGAAGTTTGGATCGTTCTGAGTATGTGGCAAACTGTTGAAAAGGGTTACTGAACTCGAACACCATTTTCGCAAAGGGAAACCAGCATTGCCAAGGATTGAGTGCACCTGCTTATGAATATCGTAACATTCTTGATCAGTGTTACCCCCACTGATGAGATCGTCAACATAAAAGTCTTGGCATATGACTCTGCCTATTGGTGTAGTTTTAATAGGTGCACCAAGCTCATGAAGACAACGTGTGGCCAGGAAGGAGGCAGATTTTGTACCATAGGTGACAGTCTTCAGCTTATAGTGCCTCAGTGGTTCGCCAGGCTGCGAGCGATATACAATACGCTGTAGCTCACAGTCTTCCTCAGCCACTAATACCTGGCGGTACATTTTCTCTACATCTGCAGTTAAGGCAACGGGATGCAATCGAAAGCGCAGCAAGATGTTGAATATGTCTGGTTGCATTTTTGGACCCCTGAGCATGATATTGTTTAATGACAATCCTGATCTAGTTGTTGCAGAGCCGTCAAATACAACGCGCATCTTTGTGGTGGTACTATCTGATTTGAACACAGGATGGTGTGGCAAGTAAAATGTAGGCTTATCAATGATTGGCGATGCTAGTTCCATGTGACCCAAGGAAATATATTCAGATATAAATTTGTCGTACTGCTCAGCCAGTGGTTTATCTTTTATGAGTCGCCTCTCTAAATTTAGGAATCTTTTTCGAGCCATGTCGAGTGAATCGCCAAGCACCTTGGGATCCTGTGCCATTGGTAGTTTAACCATGAATCTCCCACTGCAATGACGACTGAAGGATGATTTAAAATGTTCTTCAGCCTTGAGCTCTTCAAGAATGCGCTGATTGGTTTTTGATACAAAAAATGATAATGCTGACTGATTGTTGATCATGAGGTTTGGTAAGGTATTAGAGGGTGACACAGTTGAGATTTTGCCTGTAACTATCCATCCTAGCTTCGTACGATTCAAGACAGCTAGATTTGATAATGGAACCTTATCACCATAAAAAATATCAAAAAATATGTCAGCACCCAACAGCACATCTATAGGACCAGGAATATGAAAATTTGGATCTGCCAATTGGTTAAGTATGTTATCGGGCATCTTCAATCTGTCACGAATGAGTAGTTGAGATGGCAATGCACTGACTATGGTTTGCAAAGAGTAAAACTTTATGTTGGTTTTGAAATCACCAAAGCGAGAGCATAAAATGGTATCTTGGAGTTGTTTAGCAGTTGAGGCCATAGCGGAAACTCCAACTATGTTAAGTGCATTTGAAGTCATAGATAAGTTGAGCCTTTTAGCACAAGAATTTGTAACGAAATTCAACTGTGAACCAGAATCCAGAACAGCTCTACATGAATGCATACGCCCAAAGTTGTCGCATATGTTGACAATGGCGGTAGCTAGGAGGACATTTAAATTTTCAGCAGATGTAACTCCTATTTCGGTGTACATAGTAGTTGCATGTGGTTGAGGTGTGTCATCATCACTGGTGGTAGGAGCATGTGTATTGGTTGTATTCGTTTGTGATTCATGGAGCTTAGAATTGTGCTTTTCACCACAACTAGGGCATGGAGGAAAGAAGCAAGTAGATACTTGATGGCCAAAGCTTAGGCAGTTAAAACAAAGCTTCGATTTAATTACGACGTTCCTTCGCTCAGTTGTGTTCATGCTGTTGAATTTACTGCATGAGTACAGTTTATGATGCTCAGAGCATAGAGGACATTTACCACCACCCTTTTCCTTTGATTTTATGAACAAGGCTTTCTTATCATGGACTTTATTATTTGAAGATCTGTTTGGCACCTTTTTGGCTTCATGTGACTTACAATTGATGTCTCCAGCTTCATAGGCAGTTATGCGGTTGGCCAAAAATTGTTCAACATCTTCATACGAGGGCAGCTCTTTGCTTTTGTACTGCAAGTACCACTCACCCACTGTAGCACTGTCCATGCGACTGCATAACAGCGTAACTAGCCAGGCATCCCACTTGTCAACTGGTTGTTTTAGGGATTTGAGTGCATTTATGTTGGAACTGATGTGATGATGCAGCTTTTGAAGTTCACTGGTGGATGGTGTAACAACCTTGGGTGTATCTAGCAGCGAACGTATGTGTGATTGAATGATGGCGCTTTTGTTCTCATAACGGTTCACTAGTAGGTCGTACGCATGCTGGTAGTGTTCGGCAGTCGTGGGAATTGATTTTATTACATCACTAGCTTGGCCTGAAAGGCAAGACTTTAGATAGTGAAATCGTTGAACAAGAGGTAGTTTTGAATGGTCATTATGGAACATGGAATTAAAAGTGTCGATGAATGATGACCACTGCTGCCAGTCACCGTTGAACGTAGGAAGAACACATGGTGGGTACCTAATGGAGTTGAGTGTTCCAGGATGTTGTGATGTAAGAGAACTTATTGAAGGGCTTGAAACATGGTCTGCATTTGTGGCATGCTCATCCACAATTCTGAGTAATGCAGCCTTGACATCACATAGCCGGTTTCGGAAAATTCTCCGAATACAGACCCACTCTGAATCTTTTTTCTCGTCCAACATCTCTAATTGCGCTTGGTACTCCTCGAATTTTTCAGAAAACCCTGCCACCTCTTCAAGTCGTACCTTAACCTGAGATATGTGCATTGTTTCATTTGAATACTGTGAGGCGAATAAATTATAATCTTCCAGGCTGCCTCGTAATGCGTCAATTTTCCGGGTCCATTTGCGCAACTCATCAGTATTCGGGTTGACAGTCATTGTGAAGTTGAATTGAATGATATGTGAATAGTTACAAAAAATACAGGTTCACTTGTTGTACAAAAGTAGCAATACAGTTAATAAATAGTATACAATAATAATTAACAATTTACAACAATAGATAAAAAATAAATTTTAATATAAGTCAAATCACGTCGAGGTCACCAAATGTTGGCGCTACTAGCGTTCAGTGCTAATATAAATAATAAAAATATATAACACTGATTGCGCTTTCACACTATGAAATAGGAATAATGAATAAAATACGTATGTGCGTGATCTGACTATAATTAATAAGAGCAATATATATAATATAAAATATAATTTTTTATGATGCTTGATTAGCACATGAATATAATGTGTAGGTACCTCAGTCGGCCGAAGTATACAAATGAATATAATAATGAATATGAGTATAACAATAAATATGATTTTAAGTGCTTGATTAGCACATGAATATAATAATAACTGTAATTTTTAAAGTGCTTGATTAGCACATGAATATAATATGTGCCTCAGTCGGCCAAAGTATACAAATGAATATAATAATGAATATGACAATTATTGTTTTACAGTGGCAATATAATAAAATATAAAATGTATCAACAAAAAAACAAAATACTCACAGCCACAACACAGGTGGTTACCTAAAGCGGTGGATTTTATCCCACGCGACCGTGCCGGGGACGTATTTATAGTAATAATAATAATAATACACAAATTTTAATAATATTGACAACCGCACACGTGCGACCGCTTTGGGATAACCACTGAAGAATCAAGAATATAACACAGGAAAAGCACCACAAACAAAATGTAGACCAAAATATGACCACCCTGCTGAGAAAAGTATAATAATATAATAGTTGTGCATATAATGCTTTTAGGAACAATACGTTACCAATAATGAAAAAAAACCAATGATGTATTGATGTGAAGGAACTGACTGGCACATGTGCTTTTATATACGAGAAAACAATCACGATGACTTCGGACCGAATAATAATGAAAGAGAGGCGATCGGAGCCGGTGCGTCCAGCCTTTTATAACCTTTGCTGTGGACAGTGTCATCGAGATACAATAAAATAATAAATTTAACACAATATTTGATGACACTGACGCACAACAGAGATTATACAGAAAGAAATAAATAATAAAAATAGAAAATCAGCGGACAAAACCATAATAAAATAAAAGCTACGAATATAAAAATTTAAGAAATAACGATTAACGGACTGTCGCAGTCACAGGCCATCCACTATCAGCTTGATAAGAAAAAATGCTATCGCAAGCTGAAATATTGCTGACAGTGGGACAACGTACGCAGACTACGCAGTCTTGCCAAAATATCGCGCTGCAGTTGGCGCGAACA